TCAGAAGGAGAAGTTGCAGAAGGATGATGGAGAGGAACCTGCAGACGAGAATGTGTACAGAAGTCTAGTTGGATGTCTCATGTATCTCACATCCAGTAGGCCTAACATCATGTACACTGTAAGTGTCTTATCTAGATTTCTTCACTATGCAAGTAAGAATCATATGGTTGCTGGAAAGAGGGTTTTGAGATATCTTAAAGGCACACTGTCTTTTGGGATCAAATATAGTAGGGTTGAAAATTTTGAGTTGTAGGGTTACTCAGATAGTGATTAGGCTGGGTCATTAGATCATATGAAGAGCTTGGCTAAGGGTGTTTCTCATGGTGTTCAAACAAACAAGATATAGTGGCTGCTGAGTTCATTACAGCAATAGCAGCAGTCAACCAAGCTGTTTGGTTAAAGAAGTTGATACGTGACTTGCATTTAAAGCAAGAAGAGAGTGTGAAGGTGTTTGTAGATAATCAAGCCACTCTAGCTATTTCTTTGAATCCGATTTTTCATGGAAGAACCAAACACTTTAAGATCAAGTATTATGTTCTTAGAGAGATACAAAAGGAATGAGAAGTTTAGTTGGTGCATTGTAGCTCAGAGGAGCAAATAGTAGATATCTTCACTAAGTCGTTTAGTGTGTCGTTTTCAAGCTCTTAGGAGCAAGTTGGGTGTTTGTAGTATTTGAGTTAGGAGAAGAATGTAAGTTAACTCAAATTACAAGTTTGATTCTTTTAGTTTTTCAATTTGTCTAGTCCAAGTCCTAGTTTCTAGGAAGTTGTTAGGGTTATTTTTTGTTATAGTCAAATCAACTAGGTAGGTTACTATTCTTCTGGTTGTGAAGTAGTTGCCTTTTATGTGGAATTAGTTGAGTCTATTTTTAGATTTATAGTGTGTATAAATATGTAGCATCATTGAATGAAACATACACTTCCCCACTTTCTCGTTTCTTTCTCAATAATAAGAACTACATGTTCTTATCATCCAATTCCTCATCTATTATATATTCCTACAATCCATTTCTTTCTTATTAAACCTGAAAGTGACCACCAACACTTCACAACCGAATTTTCAAATCTTTTTTCTCATTTTACATACGTAGCCTTACAAAGCGATGTCGAACCAGGCAACCAGTCCAATAACCATTTAATCGTCATCGTCTTATATTGAAAGTCATTACGAAGCTCTTATCATTACTCAGTTTGTTGGCTTTATGGCTTCAATCAAACCAAATATTTTGGTGATCACAAACCAAGTATAAACTAACAATTTGAGTGTTTCAAAGTGTCCATAGCGTAGAGCTCGAAAAGACAAAATCAATGCCTATCAAATCACTCAAATCGGAGTTTAAACGAAGAAATTATGGTCAAAACAAGTTAGGAGAAAAATTCTACGTGGCGGGTGACGTGGACAAGTGGACAAATCCTACATGGTGGGTGATATGGACAAGTGGATCGCTGACATGTGGCATCAAGACAACATACTTATGCTGACGTGGCATCTAACAATCGAACAAATGAGAAGATGACATGTGGCTCTTTCAATCTCTACAAATCCATTTCCACTAATTTTTCCCCATTTCCTCAATCACTCACAATCTCAATGATTTCTCAATCTCCACCAATTTCTTTTAATCACCATAATTATGTTTTCATTTCATTTCCTTACATCACATCTTAATCTATACCATTCATCCTTTGTTGCCCTAAATCCAATGGCTAAAATTCATCATAGAAACTTTATTTAAAGCCCCCAAATTCCATCATTCTACACACCAACTATCAAAGCAAAATCATTTGTTTTCAAATTCTCCTATCAACTTTTGCAAAATCTTCATTCTCTCCTACACATAACTTGCTCATTTTTTGTGAGAGATTCATTAGAGTGTGGCTTTTTAGCCATTACTTTGGTGCAAACTTTGTGTAATCCACTTTGTTTTTGAATTCTTTATTTTCAAATTGGGTTTTGTATTAAGGTGTGGGTACACCTTGGGTTGTGAGAAAAATAAATTGGTTGGATCTTGGACTACTAAAAAGGATTTTGGTTTTTCTTTAGCCTAGGACAAAAAGAGGGTTGATCGGTTTGGTTCTCACCCGTTAAGAGGGTCACTGCAATAAAATACCCAAGAAGGAGTCTTGGTGAGTGGAGTAGGAATTTCCGAACTACTATAAAAATTCTCAGTGTCACCACTCTCTTCTCTTCTCTCTTTTAAATTCAGTATTTATCTACTTTGAATCTTGGTAGATTGCATATAGTTTACTTAAATATTTTGTTCAATATTTCCTCTTCTTGTTAATCTTCTTTTATTGATTGCATAATTGTTCATTACCTTGAATTTATTTTTAATTTTTAAAAAGTGGTAAGCAACTCT